ACAAAACCAAAGTTTAAAACGAAATTTTCAGGAAACAACGCAAACTTCAGGAACAAAACATTAAAAAAGAAGTTATCGATAAAAAGACATCTAAAATCCTCTCTCGCCCGTATGTCTTAGGAGAATATTAAATAAATACTGGGCAAAAAAACCTTGCCTTGTATCCCAGAGCTTGACTGTGCCATCAACTGAGCAGGATGCGAGTACTGCTTCATCGGTCGGTGACCAGCAAAGATCTTCCACGGATTTCTTATGTCCAGCAAGGGGTTGTTGATCCACAACCCACTGGCCCCCTTCAACCATTGTCCAGAGATATATTTTATTCCTGATATCACCGGATGCAAGTCGACCTGTAAGTACTGGATCCATAACAAAACGGAACAACTCTACTCTTCAAAAAAAAAAAAAAATCTAGTGAAGCACTCGGCATATAATCCTCTTTTCTTTTTTGTATTTTGCCCTTTTTCTAAATTTTCTGAATAAACTTTAAGCAGGAACGCTGCTGCCTAAACTGGTAAGTTATAAAAGTTACATATTAAAAGCTGATATCCACGAAATAAAATCAATCGCCTGAACAAATCTGCTAAGAGACGCAAATATTCGCACCGTATTAAAACTGGCGTTAAGGAAGGCTTGGAGACTGGAATTCCGATAGAACTGCGGTTGTTTTTGCAAAAAATGGAAATTTCTCAGGAAGAGTTTGAGTGAATTTTTTACAACAGTAAATTTTAAGCACAGTTAATCTGTTTTCCAGACATTAATAACAAAAGAAATACATTTCACTCACATCTGCAAAAGCCATCTTGAAATCCTAAAAAATTTTAAACCCGAACACCAAGATCGCCCGGACAATCACTGTGGATATTCCATGTTAGTGATTTTACTGGGATGCTCCCGAGCACCAAACGCAGCTATTACCAGGCCTAGCAATGCATGCTTTATGGCAAAATTAAGCTAAAAGTCAGAAAATTTGCAAATTTTCTCAAAAAAGAGAAAAAAATATGAAGATAATGCCAATTTTTGTCATATTCACAACCAAACTGGCAATGAAACAAACCCAGTTTTAGTGGTGACCACGATAGCGCGTATCCTTCGGCTTGATGTCCTACAAACGAAAACAGTGGCCGTTCTTTGGGACGTTTCACGACGCGATCACGTCCTTCCATTGCACTTATTTCTTGTAGAGCAGGTGTAAGATTCCACAGTGTAACTTTCCCCTGGTTACTGAATGCA